CAGCTTCTAAAGAGTTAATGTCATGATTTATGTTCCGTTCAGGGCATGTTCTTGTCACAGATTCTTTTTGAACCTCCTCCATTGCACGTTACATACAAACTGTTACTTAGCAACAATACTTATTTTAAATGTGATGGATTATACTTTTTCTACTTCAATCAATGTGCCTAATACTTATTCATAAAAAAACTTATTGAAGGTTTATAGAGCTCATTAGTTAAAACGTTCATTAGCGCTTAAGGGTCTTGTTATAAACAATAAATAAAATAATACTGCGACTATAAATTGAGATGTAAGCTATCCTATTTTTCATGTTGGATCAAATTGCACACAATATGTAAATCAAATTCGCAATCGGTTCAGTACTTTAGAAGTACTTATTGGACAAATAACGTGACACGTAATTTTTATATATAAATATAAAAAAAATTTTACGTAGTATAAAATGAAGTCGCTTTTTTATGTCGATTCGCTTAGATCTTTTAAAATATGCAACGGAGTTTAATGCAGTTTTGAGCAATTTGTGTATAATTTATCAATAAGCATAGGTGGCTAGTATTAAAATAAATAAGAAAACAAAACAAAATTGGCATTGAACCCGCGACCATAGAAATTGAAGCGGTGTGCTCAACTACTAGACCACGAAGGTAAATTAATCTGTTTCTCCAATTGGTAATAATTATGCGTAGCCCATAATTTACACGTGATTAAATCAAGCGATCCAATTTGCATGGGGTCTCATTGAGATCAGCAACTGTATGTGGATGTACTGTATGTGGATGATAACCTTGTTACCTGCTAATTAGTTCGACATTAGTTCTGCACTGGTTTAATTATTAGTACCTAGGCGACAGAGCTTCGCTCGGTGTCAACATTTTTTTTTATTTATTAACGCATTTTTGTAAAACATTCTGTCGTACAGTAAGTACTATAACAAGTACTTAAAAAAAAAACGAAAAATATCTTTGGAAAAATGAGACAGGCCAAAAGGATGTCGCCGCGAATAAAGCGACTGATATTACGCGTTTTTTTAAAACCTTCTGTCGTACAGTAAGTACTATAATAACTTTAAAAAAATCTTAGAATACACATACAGGATAATAATAATAATAAGACATGTGAAAGTGAATTTTATAAATGGTTTCTGGTGAGAGCGGCATGGGGTTAGTATGCGTTTAGGGGATTGTTAGTATCAGTCACACACTATATGTAGTTATATAGCTCCTTTTTATGTATTTTTTTCCATTAAAATATGTAATTTTTTTAATGTCATTATCTAATATCATATATTAATCAATATTAATATAGATATGTTAATCAATATCTAATACTACCGACCGCACATATATGGAGCACTGTACCATATCAGGTTGACCTCCACGCGGTCGCTCCTGGAAACCATTTTAATTGTTTAAATAAATGTTATAAATGATCTTTGTTTGATTTGCCGCGGACATTTGTGAATACACTATCTCCCTCTTACATATCTCCTTCTCATTCTTCCATTCACATCGTTCACAAATCTGGAATCATTTAAAAACACATTCCATATTTAAATTACCAATACTGTTATATAATTCCATTTTTAAAATAAGAACCTATTATATTTTGAAATGCAACAAATATTGAATATCACTTAAAAGGAATACCATCTTACACGTGTAATGGAATTAACACTTTATTGCACACCTGTTAAAGGTGAATATTTACTAACAATGTAGTGGTTAGCAGAGGTGTCGGTACCTTGAATTGTCTTATTCCTAAGTACAATTGAAATTACTGTTATTCTCCGGTGCGCTTTAAAGGAGAATAGAATTTATGCGTTGTACTTAAGGTACAATTTACCATAAAGCAAACTTTATATATTATACTGCATGGCTGGGAATATTTCCAGTTGGGTCTAAGGTTTTTAATGAATCTAATAAAACAAATACTGATTCTGAGTTCTAATTCGTATTCCTTATCGATTAATATTGCTTGTACTAAATACACATTGCGATAACATGCAGTTCGATAAGTTTTTACTTCTAAATAACAAAGTATTCTAATAAGAATTTGTATATTGACGGCCTCGGTTGTCTAGCGGTTTAGCACACCGCTTTATTTCCGACGGTCGCGGGTTCGATTCCTCAACATTTATATTAAGGAATATGATTGTTTGCATCGGTCTGGGTATTTTCTATGTACATTATGTACGTATTTAAAAAAAAAATGCGGGTAGGAAAATTCCTATATATCGAAATCTATGCACAAAGGCCGTTAGCCCCATTGAACAAATGGCTGCAGGCACCCGAAAAAATTACGTTATATAGCTATATTCACCCCAGTACACCCCACGGCTAATACGCCGCGAGCTAAACAAGATTTATATTATCTAATACCGTAAATGTGCCACCTTAACAATACCAGTCTCATGTGTATGTTTGTATGTCACACCACTATAACACACTTAGGAATTATTTCATGACAATTTTTATTAACTGTGGAATATCTTATACTTATATAAAATTCTTAACGGGGTAAAAAATAGGGGATGAAAGTTGGTATCTAACGACGACATTTTTGAAACTAGAACGATGAATTTTTATAATATATATATATACTTTGGATTTTTATAATTAGTCTAAATATTCAAGGTCACTATACCAAGCAGACGAAGTCGCGCGCAGAACTAGTAAACAATAAAGTCACAGTGATATTAGCAGATAGTGCTATAATATTTTCAATAGGCATGCAAATTTTTATTTAAAAAAACCTGACAATCATCATCATCATCATCATCATCATTATCATCATCATCATCATCTGCTTCTCCCATATCCCATTTATTTGTGGTCGGCGTAATATGATCTTCTCTTCCATTCATCCCTGTTCGCAGTCATCTCGTTATTTATTTCCTCTCTTATCATATCATCTTTCACACAGTCCATCCATCTCTTTTTCGGCCTTCCTCTGCCCTTATAACTATCTACATTTATATGTAACACCTTCCTTAATATATACATCTGACAGTAATATACATAAAATACATTATAACAATCGATATGTAACAGTTTTTGGTTGTGCCGCGCGGGGCCACACACTTACTAGGCAAAGCACCGGTCACAAAAGCACTGCGTACATTAAATCATATAACGGAGCAAATAGATCTATTTTCTTGTTCTCTGAATGAGTTCACGAAGATCGCTTTATTTATTATAAGTTACAATTAATTTAAAAAATAATGTTTGCTGCACTATTGTATTAGGCTAAGACCTGTAAAAATAGACGTAAGTGTGGAAAATAAATAAATAAATAAAAGTGTAAATAAAGTTCTTATTATGTTTTTATAACTATTACTAACAACTCGCCTCGGCTTCACACGGGTATACATGTATTATATACATATATAAACCTTCCTCTTGAATCACTTTATCTATTAAAAAACTACTTCAATATCCGTTGCGTAGTTTTAAAGATTTAAGCATACATAGGGACGGACAGACAGCTACAGCGACTTTGTTATCATTATATATAATAAAACTATCTATACATATAAATAAAATTGGAGCGTCTGTTTGTAATGTTGAAATAACCGTTTTTTACTACACGCATTTCAATATATGTAAATACGGTATATACAACAAATTAACATTTTTTACAATTTTTGTCTGTCTGTCGGTCTGTTTGTTCCGGCTAATCTCTGAAATGACGGTACTGATTTTGCCGGAACTTTTTTTTGGCAGGCAGCTGATGTAATAAAGAATAACATAGGCTACTTTTATTTTAGAAAAATAAACTTAAATGCCACGCGGACGAAGTCGCGGCTAGTATAGTATAAAACTATTATATATTTAGAGCGATTATTTAAAAATTGTCCAAACACACTTAGCTTAACTTCTAAATGAATATCCATTATAAACACAAAATCTTATAATATAGTTTCACAGTTATTTAATTCAACCCCCTTTAAATCCACAATGAAGATCCCTGGGGTATCTCGAAATCCACTTACGAAGTAAGGTGACCCCTCCTCAACTTGCGTGAAGTTCTCAATACCCTTAAATATGATTACAATGTGATATATCTTTAAAATCACTATGAACGTCTGAAAGACTATCACTAACTCGGTAGTCTAGCAGTTACGTCATCGACGGTAACGAGTTCGAATTTGCATGATTAAAATTTTTGTATTCACAAGTATGATTGTTTGTATTGGTCTGGCCAATCTTTATATATGTAATTACAAGTAAAATGTGTTTATGTATTTTTATCAGTTGTCTAGCAGCAATAACATAAGTTATGCTTAGCTTGGGATTAGATGGCACTGTGTAAATAGTCTGAAGTTATTAATATAGATTTTATTTGCCTGTTTGTGTGTCTGTTATTATTCTCTTGGCGCCTCAACGTGTATACGAATCGCATGAAAGATAGATCTCAAATATGAGGTAGAAAAGAACGTACAAATAGAATATACTCCAACTACGATGGCGGTCTCGGTGGTCTAGCGGTCTAGCACACCGCTTTATGACCGATGGTCGCGGGTTCGATTCCTCGCACGGCACAAATATTTGTATTCATGAGTATGATTGTTTGTATCGGTCTGGGTGTTTTCTATGTATAATATATAGTATTTGTATCAGTTGTCTAGTACCCATAACACAAGCTTTAGCTAGCTTAACTTGGGTTTTGATGGAGTTGTGTGAATTGTCCTGAGATTACTATTATTATTCATTTAGTTAACAATGCTTCTAAATGTTTTAGCTAATTATACATTCATGCTAAGATATACATTTACGGGGTAGACGAAAATAATCGAATGTTACCTTATTATCGACCGAATTCGAATTCATGATTCTAAGAACAATAAATAAACCATTATTAGACGTAATTTTTTTTTATCTTTCTTTCATCTTTTAGTCAAATTTCAAACAGAAAAGTCACTTTGGTAAGTGGTGTTATCACCAAATGCTTCGTTAATACTCTGTAGAAATAAAACCTCATTTAGTGATGAAGTTTTTAATTCAAGATGAATAACACTACATATTACAATATAATATTATACTCGTAGGGATCAAAAGGTTTAACATCACTTTTTGCTGAAAAGTCATTGCTCTCCAATGTGTCGTATTTAGCTTTAGTTAACAATTTATCAATAATGTCCTCTAATAATCTATCTTCATCGTAAATGCTTTGTTCATTCTTAGCTATGATCTCCTCGAATTTTTGCCATGTTTCCATATTATACGATCGGATGTATGTTTTTAAAGTTGTATCACATTTAGATTTATCCATATTTTCCTTCATAATATCTATCCAGATATGCTGGAAATAGTCCAATACTTCCCAATTAGGTCTGCGCAGTACGTCTAAACCATGCGCTTTCAAAATTGCATCTTCCTTGTGTAAACTTTCATTAAAAACAGCCGTATTGTACCTTTCTATTAGCGCATATAATTCAGATCTATGCATTGTTTGTTTGTAATTTATTTTATTGTTATCCAACCATGATATCATTTTAGCTGTAGTATCTTCAGGCTTTGGCACATCCAAATCAGCGTCTGTTTCTTGATATTCAGATCCAATGACAACAACGTGGGATTCAGTCAAATGCGGTTGAACCATTATTTGAAACCATTCTATTATGTTAAGCCGTGACGATGTCACCATACTACAATCGATTAGTCCTATCTGAGGAGAGGCAGCAATCAATATATGGTCTTGTGCAGTAGTTGTACTACTTGGTACGGTGTCCTGTATCACTTCATGTGCTATATAAACGATTGGTCTGTTTTCTTCCCTGAACTTTTTCATGTTTATCAAGTAGCGCATCCTTTTAGCTTGTTGTTCAGGGTTCTCTATAAAAATGCACTTGTTAGTCCCAGGTATGTCGTGCCATTTGAAGCCAGATTTCTTGAGACTATCTGACGTGTTAATGTGTAACGGTATGTGATTCTTTTGTATAGGTATCTGCTGTTTTATATAGTAATCAACCATAAGCTGACGAAGTGTAACGGAACTATTATATTTTGGTATTTGTTTTGTGTCATTCTCTTTGATTTTATCACAAAGATCCGGGTATGTTGGTGAGAAATGAGCATATTTTATGGCATCTAACTTTTCCCCGGTATATTTAGCTACATTTTTATAATAATGTGTTTTAAGTTTTTGGTGAACTGGCTCCCCAGTCTTTTGGCATTCCTTTATAATGTGATTTATTATTTTAATTTTTCTCTGTATATCTAATATTTTAGGATCAGCCATCTCCGAGTTTAAGACTGAAAAATAAACTTTGTATAATTATTAATTACATATACATTAGTATACTATACTATACTTACAATTAAATTAAGCGTAATAAAACACAAGAATTTAACAAATAAAAAAAAATGGAAAATATTTCAAGTATAAATAAAAAGTATTCTTGGAACTGAATTCCTCAATAAGAAAATTGTTTTTAAAACATTTGTATATACTATATAGTAGGTATAGTGTATAAGTAAACTTTCCGATCACGTGATCAATTTAGTATAAAAAAAAACAACAAAATTAATGGGTATATTTTCACTTCGATTCTTGAATAAAGTGGTTTAGTTACACGAGGATACCACCCGGCATACAACTTTACGACTAACCGTCTAAGAATATTGTAAACTTGTTAAAATTTAACAAAATAGATATAAAGTACCACATAAAAACATAGAAGCAACATTTCTACGAAAATATACTTTAAAACTACGAAAATACACCGTCCAAATATGGTATTGTTAATGAAATAAATGTACTTACGGTTAAATTGTATTTATTTTTAGTACATAAGACCTAACGTCTGGCACGGTTCGTATCCAGCGATGGATTGCGCGGGGTGACGTCAGAGGGGAGGAGTGGAGAGCGGGACGCGAGGGGAGCGCGGGGAGAGGGCTGGCCGTCGACGTTGCCTACACGCGTCGAAATCGTGATACGCACAAACCTAAGTTTTATGCTAAATTAGCATGCGTCATTAACGACAAATAATTCGCTTCGGTGTAATATATTTCTTGTTTAATATCATATAATTTACTATGTTGCTTATTTATTTAAAACTGTATTAATTGGAGTGAATTTATTTATTTATCTTATTTGGCACTTTGTCTTCATTATAATACTTTTTATTAAAATTTTGCGTTTTTGTACACCCTATTTTTAATTAAGAAATACAAATTATGATGTTATCTAATTATCAACATGTGTATTATGTAAACAATACAATTGAATAAATCTTTAAAAGAACAATACATAATAATGTGGACTTAATATAAACATAGCATTATTGCAATTACTTGCCTATTTTTATCGTAAATTACAGATTGAAGAATATGTAAACTGTATAAGTTATTATTATTTACCAAAATAATTGTCATCTACAATGTCCAATTAATAAATGTTAGAAAAGATGCACATATTTCACACGTGCGTACAATAATAACTGCTGTTGTCCTTTGGTATAAGGAAGCGCGCAAAGAACAGCAGTATTTCTGTCTCTCTCACGCGGCTCGGTTTTATCCCGCGCGACTTGCCAGCAGTCAATGAACGAAATTCAAACTTAGAACGTCGCTTCTTTCGCGTAGTCTTTATTTGACCCCGTGAATTTTATTTAAAATATCTACATATAGTGTTTTTTTTATAATATGTGCTATAATGGATTCAAACTTGAAAAATTATCCTGAAACATGTGGATTACTTAAAAATGTTTTAAAAGTACTGCAGAATGAAGAGGACGTAACTACAGGCGTATCTTTCGCTTCTAAACTAACAAATATACATCCAAAGTCACTTAATTTGTTTATATTATCGGATATTACAAAAATAAGTGATGTCGATCGTTCCGTAGTATATAAAGCGCATAGTGATTACTGTATAAATTTCAATAAATTCCCAACGACCAAAGAGTTGTATGAGGATCTTCAAGGCAAACTACCATGTTATATGGACATGGGTAGATTTAGAACGTTATTAATACAGATGGATTTTTGCTGGAAGAAGATTCGAGAAGATTTGCTAGTCGTCATAGAAAGACCACGAGCCACATACGAGAGATTTCGATATTTCACGAATGTAATGATGTTTGATCCAAAGATGATTTATTTCATATGCGAGTATTATGTCAATTCAAGTAGACAGTTTAAGATATATTCTGGTAAGGAAGAGGATGCGGTTATACGATTAATTTGCGCATACTCCTCGTTTAACGGCGTGCAACATATGGAAATTATAGACAATTTCAATGAACAAAATTTCGAGAATTTTGTAGCTGGTACTCTATTGCCCAGTTTGATGAGTTCAACTGTCATTGTGATCCCAGATATATCGCAACATAACGGGAAGTACATAGAAACGCCAACGTTGGACAGTCTCCGTATAGAGATCATGGAATGGTTGGATAATAACGACATACCATACCACGTGGAGTTGTCCAAATATGAACTGATGTGTTTAGTAAAACAATACACAGATACAAAAGAAAATGTGTATAAAATTGATAATCTGTTAGAAGCACACGGTCATACTGTTTTGAGATTGCCAAAACATATAGAAATGTTAACGCCTGCAGCGTTACTTGCCGAGTTCTTATCAACAAATATGGAACGGGAAGAAGTTGATCTAAAGAAAAGTATCAAAGATGTATTATCTATAGTTGATAAACAGCATTTAAACCAGTTTAATACATATATTTTCAATGAATATGAGATGATGATATTAAAAGACAAGGAGTTGGATAGAAATTGGGATCTGTATATGGCAAATAGTTTAAGCAAGGAGGCCTATGTAGACACAGTGTTGCCAGTATTTAATATGGAATAAAGATGTCATTTATCATGTATTTAAAATAATGTCGTAACGTAGATGGAATAAATTTTTTTTGGAACTTATCTTTTTATTTAACGTAAAATTGAATAATTCTAGAGAGATTGGCCAAAATGGTAGGTAATAAAATAAAGACTGTTTGAGAAAATGATTGAAATGAAGCGTAGAATGAATTAAATTGAAATGAATAAATAAATATTTTTTTTATTCTGGAAAGACTAAAGTTTGTTATCTATTTCACCCATCATGCAGATGCTTTAAGAGAGTGACAAACAAATAGACAAATTTTACTTTCGCCTTTATAGTATTACCCGTAGTATGTATGATTGCCGTTTACCACCACGTGGGCGGTCTGTTTGTCTATCATTTCTTGTCTTGTATAATATAAAATGTATATATATATATAAACTTGCCATGCCCGCGGTTTCAGCCGCATTAAATTTAAATAAAAATATAGCCTACCTATGTGTTATTCTGATATATAACCTATATTACAGTAAAGTTTCATCAAAATTCGTTCATTAGTTTCTGCGTGAAAAAGTAACAAACATCCGTACTCACATACTTTCGCGTTTATAATATTACTAGCTACTCGCCCCGGCTTGGCACGGGTGTACATGTTTTATATATCCTTCCTCTAGAATCACTCTATCTATTAAAAAAACCACGTCAAAATCCATTGCGTAGTTTTAAAGATTTTAGCATACATAGGGACAGACAGCGACAGCGACTTAATTTTATATTATGTAATGATTAAGATATAGAACTCTCACTTAGAATATAGTTATATCTGTCAGGTGTGATGCTACAGTATATATAATAGTTAGAGAAAATCAAGCATTTCAGTATCAAGTTAATCATAGTATGTTAATAATGACATACATTTATTATACAATGCAAATATATCATTTAAATGTATTAATAATACTGTTGAAACGGTATCTAGAAACTTCCCACGTCCTAATAATTATATAATGGTGTAAACCTATAATTTTGACGTCAGGCGGCCATTTTGAACAGGCTGTTGTGGCCGGGAGTAGGTTAAGTTTCGCGTGAGGTCTAGACGAGGCGTGATCAATCTTATTACTGATTAAGATGATGTTAGTATCACATTTTATTAAGTATGCTACTTATGATTTTTTTTTAATTATTTAATTGAATATTGTATGTATGACGACCTCGGTGGTCTAGCACACCGCTTTACGTCCGATGGTCGCGGGTTCGATTCCTCGCACGGCACAAACATTTGTATTCATAAGTATGATTGTATCGGTCTGGGTATTTTCTATGTATATTATGTCTGTATTTATATCATCTGTCCAGTACCTGTAACACAAGCTCTGTTTAACTTGGGACTACATGGCGCTGTGTGAAATCTGAAATATTACTACGATCAATAGGAGCAATTATTAGCCCCCTCAAGTATGGTTAAATCTTCTTACTTACATCAAAAAGTATTGCATCTGGCACCCCCATCTATGATTACAGTCGCAAGCGTGTTTTTTCTACAGCGTCCCGCAAATCCACACAAAGGATATTAAACACATTGTTTTGCTCTTTCTGGTGGAGCAATAAACTGAGTTATGAACTTAATGCGTTATTACGGCCACATACATTTCCCTGATGCTGTACTTTACTTATTTTCTTTATTAATCACTAGTTTTAACTTGCGACTTCACTTGCAATGTTAAATACCAGAGGTCGAGACTGAGCATAGTTGTGTTAAATGAAAGAAACTGTAATATTTCAAGAATCGCAGCTATAATTGCTTAGGTCTCAGCAATAGGAGACATGCAATGTAATAGATGGATAGCAAGATGATGGATATATCTATATGTTTTATATTGGATACTATACCATAAAAAGCCGAAAAGCTATACTAGTCAGATTGTTTATTAATCCAATAGCAAAAATAAGTTTATTCCTATGCAAAGAAAAAAAAATTTCCTTGAACTTGCTACACAGCGCTATCTAATTACAATCCAAGCAAAGTTGGTGATATTATATGTAGATACATATACTCCAATGACTTTTTTTATTTATAAAGACATACATAAGACACTCGTATATAGAAAATACATACACATAAGATAAAAACAAATATAGTAAAAAAAAAATAATTTTTATTGTACGGGCATCGAACTCACGACTATAGTGCGTATAACCGCAACACCACCAAGTTTAATATACCCTTATATTCGAATTCTGGAGGGAATTACATTAAAATTTAATCATCCATTTATCAACAGACATAATCAGACTGAAATATCACGCCAACATGGCTTCAGGGTACAGATGTCCCAGATTCGTACTACGTAATAACTGGCTGTACAAATTGTCCCTATTAATAGCTAAAGGGTTGAGTTCAAATAGATATCAGTGGCCAGAGATAGGGTTGAATGTTTTAAACCCACAAAAACAAACAGTGGGTACATATATCTCTAAATGAACAATCATTAATGTTTCCACATATATATATATGTATATGACGGCCTCGGTAGTGTTGCGGTTTAGAACACCGCTTTACTTCCGATGGTAGCGTATACGTTTCTTTGCACGGTAAGTTAACAAACTTTTGAAATTGGCCAAAGAATACAAATGTTTGACCCGTGCGAGTTCGAACTTTCGACCATCAGAAGTGAATCGGTGTGTTAAGCCACTAGACCACCGAGGCCGTCTTATAAATTATCATTTCTGTAATGATTTAGGAATTATTAATAATAATCTCAGGACAATTCACATAGGGCCATCTAGACCCAAGTTAAGCTACCTAAAACTTGTGTTATTAGTACTACATAACTGCTACAAATATATATTTTTTTCGTAAATACATATATATTGTACACATAAAATACCCAGACCGATACAAATAATCATACTCATGAATACAAATGTTTGTGCCGTGCCAGGATCGAACCCGTGGCCATCGGAAGTCAGGCGAACTGCTAAACCGCTAGATGCTAGATGCCATTGATTTAATCACGGAACTAGTTACAAACAAATCTATCTCTCATTACGTAATAGTTTGCAGTTGTTGGTTTAATCGTTCGCCATTGAACCAAGTAATAGTGGTATCTTAACTCGGAACTACTAGTTTTCGAAGTTTGGTAAACTTGATTGCAGCAATGGACATTCAATTATTAACATTAATTTTTAACTAGCTGTGCCCGCGACTTTGTCCGGGTGAAATACTGACATTGACCAAATAAAAAAATAAAATGTTCTTTAAAAAAAAAGTTTCATCGTAAAACGATATTTTATATTATTTTAGCCCCTTATATTTATTTATATTTAATCAACAGCCTAAAAATATAAGTTTAAAAGAAAGTCCTAAGTAAGTACCTATGTAATATAATGACTATTCATTATACACACTTTCTTCTAATTATAGAATAGAATAGAAAATCTTTTATTCAAATAAACTTAATTTAAGCACTTTTCAATAGTCATAGTTATCTATCTTTTAATCTACTGCTCATTCGGAAGACTGTCTCATCATAAGAAAAACGAGCAAGAAACTTGCGTGTTGCTCTTTTAAATAATCGTTGTAAATTTACATTTTTAATTCGAAACGTGAAACAAACTACCTACTTGCACTAATTTATTCAGTACATATATAAAATACACAATAAGATTAAATCAGTCGTAGTGATAAGAGCAGACCAGTCCTTACAAGCAGCACTCGTTCACGAGTATGAGGTTTGAGCCAGGTATATCTGCGCTCAGAAGGCGCACTGGAGTTACCGACATCATCCAAAGAATCGCGCAGCTAAAGTGGCGTTGGGCTGGTCATGTATGCCGAAGCAAAAACAACAGATGGGCATACAGATCCTTAATGTGGTGACCTAGGATGGGAAGCAGAAGCGTAGGCAGACCAACTGCCAGATGGTCTGATGATATCAGGAAGACGGCAGGACCGACCTGGACAAGACACGCCACAGACAGACTGAAGTGGAAAAATGTGAAAATTATGCAAGAGGAATACGTTTAGCAGTGGACAAATATATGCTGAAAGAAAGAAAAGAAAAGAAAGAATATCTGCGCTCGCCCATATTCTACCATCACGCCGCCGAATGTCTGGACATTTTAGTGAGCATGACTACTGAATACAGTCAACTACGTCATAGCTACTAAAAATTACCAATAGTATAGTATTCGCATTTTACATAAGAATGCATGTCGCAATCAATAAAACCGCTATGCTATCATGTTTCAAGAAAGCTTTGCGTGTAATAGCTTAGACTGCATCATCACTTAACATCAGGTGAGGTTGCGGACTAACACGCTCAAATCTATGCATATAAATAAAATTGGAGTGTCTGTTTGTAACATGTTTTTTACTACACACATATGAATATAAATATGGTACATACACCAAAATAACATTTTTTCTGTCTGTCTGTTTGTTCCCGCTAATCTCTAACGTGGCTGGACCGATTTTGACGAGACTTTTTTTGGCAGATAGCTGATGTAGATAAGGAACTTAGGCTACTTTTATTTTAGAAAAATAAAATAAAATTCCACGTGGACGAAGTCGCGGCTACAGCTAGTACATAATATTTTCTTTCTTATTAATAATAATAATAGTTTTAAAAACATAATAATGATTTAAAAAATAAAATAAAGAATTATTATCATTATTTCAAGAAAGCAATTTTGACAATACAGCACCGATGTCTACCTAGTGAGGTCCTATTAATCATCAATTACATTCGCATCAAGTTGAAGCAGTCAGGCGAACTCGGAGTGTCTGCAAGGGTCTGAAGTAGGGTTCACCAAGAGACCTAAACTTATTTGACAATCCAACCAACTTCAATGAAGAGGGTACGTCAAATGTTTGCGATATAAGTAAATTGAAATGTAAGCTAGGTACACACGGGCGGAGTTTCTACGACGCTTGGAATAACAGAGGAAAAAGCGCGCTGTGTTGAAATTGATATCAATATTGGTTTTAGAATTATTACAATAAAAAACAACGGCATATTATCAGTCGAATACTCATACCGATGGTTCCGAAAAAAAACATTGTTTTTAATAATATGTACCTATCCTATTTGACAGCCTCGGTGGTCTAGTGGTTTAGCACACCGCTTTCCTATCCGATGGTCGTGGGT